ATTATTAAATGATTGTGTAAATGTAAAATAGGAAAAAACTTAACAACATCCATAAATAAAAATGCCACCTAATCAATTGAAGAATCCACCTAATCAATTGAACTCCAACTAAGCAATTTTGACAAATGACATCATCATTTGCCACATGTCAATCATTGAGGGCATAGATCCTCTTTTTATATTATATATAGATTCCTTAATTTCTTAGTATACACTTATTGAAATTAATTTCTTAACGTAATGTATGCCGTAATTTAGGTATTAAATTTATAATAATATACAATTAATTACGATATAATTAAATCCGTATTAATTTAAAACTATTAATTCCATAATTAATTTCCATAATTTCGAATAAATATCCACAATTTAAGATCACTACCGTAAATAATATGCATTGATTCCGATTTACTAAATAATGTTTGATTTATTCCGATTCTTGCAATCAAATCCGATTTTGAAAGTGAAGTTATTTATGGTATATGTAATGACATATGGGCAATGACTGGGATGTCTACATGGACGCCTACGTGGATGACAAATGTCGAAATTCTAGGCTATGAGGGTTTCAATTTATATATTATATAGATATGAGGGAGTTTCGTAATTTGATCTTACCTCAGGGTGTTGACCGTAATTTACTCAAATAAAATCAATACGAGAAGAAATCCTTATTCAATTGTGATTGGCTTTTAATCACTTTGATGCAAATATCAAAAAGGAAAATCCTTATTCGATAGTGATTGGTTCTTAATCAAATTGAATGAGTTAAACTCGACCCCGTAAGAAGAACCTGACCTAAAAAGAAAGAAAATACAAAACAATCTACACACCGCGGCCGCATTTTCTATCACACTATTGTTAAACTTTTGTTATGTGATTAGAATAAACGATGAGGAGAGAATCATGTTCAACTTGTTTTACATGTTTTAAGTATTTACAAATAAAATTTAGAAATATATTACACTAAGTATAAAAACCGAATTACGATATATCTCCGATTAAATACCGCCGCGCCAATTTATCGTGTGGCGGTTCCTAACCGCCTCGGATCCGATAACCGACATTTAGAACCTTGATATATATATAGGGCGAATGGCAAAAAGGCCATCACAAGGGACTGAAATGCACATTGGTCCACAAAAAAAACAGTCACCAAATAAACTCATCCCCATGTCTTTAGTCTAAAATACCCTCCATAATATAATTCTTATCAATTCCATCAATTATGCTCTAACTTCCTTAATATTACACATTGACCCCTGATTTAAACAAATATATCACATTAACTTCTAAATAATAATGTTTTGAATTTTTTTTTTTCAGAAAATAATTTTTTTCTGAATTTCTTTTTTCCCGACCAGATTCCGGCGTTGACTTTTTTTTTTTTGGAAACTTTTTTTTTCTAATTTTTTTTCCGGCCGATCAACCGCCGGTCTCCGGCGTTGATTTTTTCTGAACAGTAATATTACTAATATTATTGTCCCAAACAGTAATATTACTGTTTGAGACAGTAAAGTAATTTAGCAGCTAAGACAGTAATATTAATTAAAATAATCTTTTTTAAGAAAAAAATAAAATTTCAAAAAAAAGAAGTCAATTAACAGTTAAATTACTCTCTCCAACAGTTAAATAACTGATGAAGATAGTAATTTAGCAACGAATACAGTAATATTAATTAAAATAATTAAAAAAAAAGGTTAATTAACGGTTAAATTACTGTCTCCAACAGTTAAATAACTGTTAGAGACAGTAATTTAGCAGCCAAGACAGTAATGTTAATTAAAATGTTTTTTAAGAAAAAAAAGTCAATTAACAGTTAAATTACTGTCTCCGACAGTTAAATAACTGTTGTAGACAGTTATTTAGCAGCCAAGACAGTAATATTAATTAACTTTTTTTTTAAAGAAAAAAAAGTTCAATTAACAGTTAAATTATTGTCTCCGACAGTTAAATAACTGCTGGAAACAGTAATTTAGCAGCCAAGACAGTAATATTAATTAAAATATTTTTTTATGAAAAAACAAAATTATAAAAAAAAAGTCAACGCCGGAAACCCGGCTGTCAACGCCGGAAACAAAATTATAAAAACAAAATTGGTTAATTGGTGAAATTGAGTTAAATTTGGGTGTAAATCATGAAATTGGGTTGAATTAGGTTTCAATGAATTGAGGGTAATTTTGGTATATATAAAAGGATTTTCCTTATTTGCAAATAAGTTTGAATGAACTGAATTTATTTAAAAGACAAAAAAAGATTGGATGTCCTTCTTTTAGTTAAGTGCCTTTGTAATTGGCCTTTTTGAGATTAACCCATATATATATTGATGAGGGGTGATTGTAATTACCAAAACATGAGAGGGGTTTCGTAATTTGATCTTATCTCAGGGTGTTGACCGTAATTTACCCAAATAAAAATCAATACGAGAAGATATCCTTATTTAATAGTGATTGGCTCTTAATCAATTTGATGCAAATACCAAAAAGGAAATTCCTCATTCGATACTGATTGGTTATTAATCAAATTGAATGAGTTAAACTCTTAGCAGGATTTTGATACCATAATATTTGGCATCAAAACCCAAATACTTACCTTCCAAGTTACCCATATATACTTTATATATACCCTACTTACGTTCTACAAATCTAAAACAATACAACCCAAAACAATAACAAAAAAAGAAAAGAAAAAAACAATGTCGTCTTCTTCTTCGTCTCACGTACATGTATGCCATGTTTGGGCTGCAAACCTGGAGGAGGAGTTTCGTCACATCGACAAGTGTCTGCATCCCGATTGCCGCCAGTTCACCTTCGTTTCGATGGACACCGAATTTCCGGGGACAATTTACAATCCCGAAGGGGTGCCACCATACATGCGCGCCCCAGAGGAGTTCTATTCCAACATCAAGCAAAACGTGGATGCACTGAAACTCATCCAGTTGGGCCTCACAATATTCGACAGGTACGGGAATCTACCCCGTTCGGCGGAAACCGGTCAGGAGCAAATTTGGGAATTCAACTTTCAGTTCGATTCCGCCATCGACCCCCATAACAAGGAATCCCATAACAAGGAATCCATGTCCCTACTCGAAAAACAAGGGATCAATTTGTCGCGGAACAAGAAATACGGGATCGACCCGCGCGAGTTCGCCATGCAGTTCAAGTGCTCGGAGCTGGGGCGGCGGTCGTATTATGGCAGGGTGGTTTGGATCACCTTCCACGGGCTGTACGATTTCGCGTACTTGACTAAGATTCTGAACGGTGGGGAATTATTGTTGCCGGATGATTTAGATGAGTTTATGAGGCACGTGTGGAAGTATTTCAAAGGGAATGTGTACGATTTGAAGAGCATGATTCTGTTCGTCGGACTTCACGGGGGTTTGGAAAAGGTAGCTCGGAGTTTGAACGTGAAGAGGGTCGTTGGAAAAAGACACCAGGCAGGCTCCGACAGCTTGCTGACGATGCATGCGTTTTTTGGGTTGATGAGGAGTTGTTTGGAGAAGGGGGGTCGTGACCCCCGCGGTGTGAACTTGATGGTCGCTGGAAGAACCGGTTTGGAGATGATGCAGACATTATTCGGGTTGTTCGGGTTGATGAAGAGGAATAGCTGCTCCGGTTCGGACGGGTTGCTGATGATGCAGACGTTATTCGGGTTGGATGCTCGTCCCGTCTTTTGACTCACTTGTAATTACCAAAAAATCCCAGAAGTTTGTTTCCGTCTTACACCAACCCCTTACGGTGTAATAGACTTTACACGGATTTTTATTTATTTATTCCGGGAAATAGACTTTTCACGGATTTTTTGTATTTATTCGGAGGAATAGACTTTACACAATTTCAGATATTTTCTTTTATTTATGACTTGTTTAACAAAAGGTATTAACAAAAACCGAAAAAGATTAAAAAAAATCGGAAACACTGAAGAAAACAAAATTCGAAATTTCTTTTCAAATAAATCGAAAAAGATAAAAAGATAAAAAAATTTAAAATAAGAAGAAAAAAACTGATGTATAACAGGGAGAGAAAAAAATTAAAATTTCACAAGAAACATCTTATAAAATAATCGGCGGCCTATTATTTTACTATTATTTTACAAGGAAAGAAAATCTATAGGGACGGTGGATGTTTAATCTAAATATTATCTACGGTTGTAGTGGGCCCAACTTAATCTGTACCCCACCGCACCAAATAAAACACTCCGTGTTATAGAATAATAAATATTAGAAATTAAAATCCTCATGTATACGTATATGCTTTGAATAAAACTAGAGAAGTATAGTGAAAACGAGAGGGAGAGGATGAATTGCTTCTACTTTTCTCATTAGCCAAATGTGATATTTATACACATTATTACAAGCATAGTCATCCTCATACACGATAGATGTAAATCCATGCATTGCCACGTGTAGTGGAGTAAGAATACTCAATACTTAGCCATCAAGATATCATCTGAGTAGATATCTATTATAATACTCCCTCTTGGACTAAGTATTATTGTAGCGGCTGTAAATTGGATGAGTAAAATATATGTATGCCTCGTTAAAAACCTCAAGCCGGAAAACCCATTGGGATAAAACCGATCAGAAGGGAAAAAGAGTGCATAACTCAATCCAAGTCGTGTGCATAAGCTGCCTCGTTAAAAACCTTTGCTGGAAAACCCAATGGGACCAAACCAGACATACGGGAAAAAAAGTGCAGCGCACTATTGCTCCCCTTGAAATTGAGCAATATATAGCTTCTGAGATGGGCCGTCAATCGTACTTCATATTGGCTCATCTCAT